ATATATATATATATATATATATTAGTACAATAATATTGTCAGAAGTATTTTCAGTTTCTTCAAAAATTAATCTTCTTCAGAATTTGAAAACATTAAGACAAGTTGAAAATCAATGTTTTTGAAATCTTGAGAACGCTAAGGTTACCTTTTTATCATCATTTCTTTTTATCAAATTCAAAACTTAAATTTGAAATCTTAAACTTTTGAAACCATCACAACACCAATTAGATTAACATATGATAATTTTGTAACTTATTATATAAAATATTCTAAAAAAATAAAATGTACTAACAATTTTTTTTTCACAAGGTTACAACATATCCTCAATATACATTACATGTAAGCACATGATAAGGTCAAAAAAAAGTAAGACAAAGTTAAAGGAGGTTCAAATTATCAAGAATAGTAATCTAGATTGAACTCGGTATATCAAACCGTTAACCCACCTAATTTTGAAGAGTTAGATTGAACAAATAAATTCACTAACTCGTTAAATTTGTCAATCTAGTGAGTTTAACCCACCAACTCGGTAGATCAATTCATCAATCCATTTTTTTTGTTTTAAAAAATAAATTTGTAATGAACTTATGTTGGATCAATGTTTTTATTTTATAGTTTAACTTCTTTTTCTAGGTAATTATTTTCATTTTATATGAAATAGAAATATTATTTTAATACATGTTTTTTACTAGTATATTTTCATGTATAATGTATTTTCTCAATAAAAATATATATTATCTTGTTCCTTTTCATGAAAAATATAATATCTATAATCAATTTTACAAATAATAATAAAATATAAGATAAAGTAATAATATATATTAAAATATAATTAATTTTTAAAAAAAATAGATAGATTAAAGGTGAAACAGGTTATCAATCTATTATTTTTAACCCAAAAACTTGTTAAAGTAAGTCAATCTACCAACTCATCAATCCACCAATAATTAGGGTGTATTATTTTTTCAACCCATTTTCTTTGATAGCTTAACTCTTCTCATCTAACTTCTTTGGTAGATTAACTCATTCTATCCTACTTTAAGTAAATTGACCTACTTTATTATCCCTATAATAAAAATTGAACTAGTTGAAAAAAGTGAATATAGTTTTGAGTTACGTAAAAATAAGTAAATTATTGATAACGGACAAGCAATATTTATAAGAAACTACGTACGTAAGAAAACTGATAAAAGAATTTTTTATTTTATTTTTATGTAATAAAAATGAGAAGTTTGACATATAAAAATACCTAAATTATTCTTACTGTTTTTATTTGTTTCATTAATTCGGCTCGATTCAAAGTTAATTTTAACTCGTTTAGTTTTTTTCTAAAAAAAGTGTTTTTTACGAATAAGTTTAAATTTTAATCGAAACATCCAACATTCTTTCAAATTTTATATCTTTAAACAATAATACATCAATAATAAGATTTTTTTTAACTTAATCAATAACATTTTTTAAAACATTATATTATATTTATATTGTAATTATTTTTTTCAAAATATATTAAAAATTAATCTTAAATATAGTTTATGCCTATTTAATTTTATTTATACAAAACATTAAGATTAATAAATTATATCAACAAGTCTAGTGACTTGATTCATCTAATTATATTCGCGCGCATATATATATATATATA